TGACGCATGCGCATTTGCATAAATGTCTACACACACACATACACACTACACACAATAAAAAACATAGGAAATAGCAAGAGTGATTACAATAGTTCCTATTGCATTACATGCATAGGAACTAAAAACTATTTCAAGCATCCCGTTTAATCGTACACATCAGACCAGATTTACCATGTTTGGTGTAAACACGCCCATTTTTGGTATTTACAATTACAATGGACAAAAAGAGACAGTCGGTTTCATGTTATGTGCACTTCAAAGTGTCTTCATTGTAAAGTACTACTACTAGTATTACTAAAAAACGTTATTATAAAAACAACAAAATTAGGGCCTGTAGTTCTACAGTACAACAGCCCCTGTTTTGAATCACGGAATCCCAACACGATCAACATTGCCCATGGTCTGCCATACTGGGCACCATTCTTAATTGTTTAAAAAAGAACATTCAGTTATTAATGCAGAATTATTTGTCAATATAGCATAACACAAAATCAATTCTGTGGATGAAAATGTCTGAAAGAATGCAACTTTTAAAATATCACTGTCCCAAACAGTGCCCTGTATACCAATTGAAAAATTCCCAATTATAATGCTACCAAGGTTTGAGATGTTTCGTTATTTGGCCTTAAATAAAATAACAATTTCTATTCATTTTGATTGGAACATGCAGCTAAACATTTAAAATGCATTGGAAGTACCTTCAGGATTTGACATGACACCACCACAACATACAGGCTTAATCAGGAAAATTAGTTTTTATTTACCATTTACAAAATGTTTTTACATAATGTAAATTTTACTATAGCCTAAGACAGTCAGCTGTTTTTGTATTTTCTGTAAACATCAGTCCAATATTACAAAATAATTTCCATACTTTATTCACACATTTATTAAAACAAGTGACTATTATTCAAACCTCATTATCGTAATGCAATTGACTAAAAAAATAATTCTAACCCAAAGGCAAAAAATCTGATGACATTTATTCAATATTCTTTCGACTATGCACAAGAAATGCCTGAAAGCCTAAAGGTAGGATAAGTTAGCATACTGTAAGCTGATGGATGGCAATAGTTGACATTTAGTACTAGCATCAGCACATGAAGTTAAAATTAAAACCCAAACAATAATTCAATTGACTGATTGCAGGATTACTCTGAGACTCTAAACAGCATAACACAATAGTGATGTGATGGTACATAACAGGGATGTTATGCTAACATGATAGTTAAGGATGTGATGTTATGCTTTACACAGAAAATTGTGTAATCCAGCCAATTATGCTGAATGATCTCAAGTAATTGATAATTGAAATGAGATAATGTACCATAGAATACCTTTCTAGTTGATTTATTATTTTTAGCAACCATCATCCTACGTACAGTGTTTAATTTAACAGTTGTTTACTTCTAATTACTGTTTACTTAATAATAATCCAGACTGATACTCTGTTCTACAAAGTTATTTTGTACAGTACAACAGTTCTAATATCTGTAGCAATGCATACTGTAGTCTGCAATTTGGTTTAAACTCTTAAAACCATTTGACAAATTCCCAACTCCTTCCAAATTATTTTTAAAATATTATTATTTATAACTTACATACTGTACCTGTGAAGATAGAATTGTGAGCTCTAGAGTTGTTACACCAGACAAAATTTTAATTTAAAATTTTAATGCATTTTATAAATGAACATATTTGTTTTAAAAATATCTTATGGTAATTTATTAGTGTTATGAATTTTATGATAATTATTTATATCATATTTTGTTGGATGCTAACATGATAGTTAAGGATGTGATGTTATGCTATACACAGATAATTGTGTAATCCGGCCGATTATGCTGAATGATCTTAAGTATTGGTAACTGAAAAGAGATAATGTACCATAGAATACCTTTCTAATTGATTTATTATTTTTAGCAACCATCATCCTATGTTTAGTGTTTAATTTAACAATTGTTTACTTGTGATTACTGTTTACTTAATAATAATCCAGACTGATGCTCTGTTCTACAAAGTTATTTTGTAGAGTACAACAGTTCTAATACTGTATCTGTAGCATAGTCTGCAATTTGGTTTAAACTCTTAAAACCATTGGACAAATTCCCAACTCCTTCCAAATTATTTTTAAAATATTTCTATTTATAACTTACATACTGTACCTGTGAGGATAGAATTGTGAGCTGCTAAAGTTGTTACACCAGGCAAAATTTTAATGCATTTTATAAATGAACATATTTGTTTTAAAAATATTTTATGGTAATCTATTACAGTTATGAATTTTATGATACATAATTATTTATATTATATTTTGTTGGATGCATTTGAGAGCCACAAAGAGTGATTAATTTTGCTATTGGCAATCTGGTACACCTCCTAAATATTGTATTATCAAGTTACGAAATAAATGAAATAAACAAACTATTCATAATAGGTTATCATGGTCTTAAGGACATACTTTTGCTTGCTCCAGCCATATCGGGTATCACGCCTCGTCAGTGCATGTCAATTGGGTATAACAATAATATTAAATATTTGAGCTTTTATATCGCATACCAATCTCACAGTGCTGAAAAAGTATGCGACTATGGAAAAAGGTGAAATTTAAGAAGAGATTTGAATTAATTTATGATTCATATTAAATAAGATTTTTGGTTAGTATCAGTAAACTTTTTGGTCAAGTGTGGTTACAGAACCATTTACAGTAAGACCTAGTCCTGATATTGTACTCTAGGTTTCACAGGCTTGTTAATACTTTGCAATCATTATTCAAAAATTAATTACAGTATAATACAATATACAAAAAACCGAAACAATGGGCCAATTAAAAGAGAATCAAATTTGCATTTGATTTATTCCATGAAAAAAGCAAGTATAATAATAATAATTCTTTATTTTCCCTCATTCAAATTGGAAATCAGAAACTTGGGCTGGGCCTCTGGGGACCCATGCCTGCGGCAGTGCAGCGCCACCTAACTTAACTACAACCAGTGGTGGCTCTAGAAGTTCACAAACAGGGGGCCTGAACCAAGGAGCCAAATAGCGCTTTGGTTGCAGGCCCGAAATAAAATCACTGGTAACTGGGTTCATGGGGAAAGCTTTTATGGCTTAGAATGGCCCAAATTATTTAGACCACAAAGCACTTTATCTACGGTTGTCTCTCTCCACCCAGGAGTACAAGTGGGTACCTGGTAGGTTCATTTTTTTTTTTTTTTTTTACAATTTTTAAAGAGGGTGACCTATCCAGTTCTAAAATGAACTGATCATTAAGAGCCCTCGATAAAACATACAAAAATTAAAGCATTTAAAATACTGAATATTCAAAACACAGAAAAAGTAGAATGGCCTACACTTTACACTATTACGGGGGGTAATAATGTAAAGTGCATAGAGGTTAGTCTACAATATGCGCTATAAGTCAACAATTATTATTATTATTAAATGGAAATTTAAAAAAAAAACACAAAAGCAATGGAATATTACTATACAAATTAAATGATGCATACCAGTATTAGTAACTTTTTTATGAGAACACAACATGTAAGATAGTGTGCCACTGATATAAGTGTGCTTGTTTATTAAAGTAATTATCCCAGTTACAGTACATAGTGCTTAAGACTTGTTGTTATGTGGTTATGCTTTCGCAAATATGCATGCTCATTTAATCGGTATAAGCAGAGCCTATAAATTAAGCTGAGAAAAAAAAAGATACAAAACATGTTTTTAAGAAATAGGGCCCCATTTTTCTCTGTTAACAGTAATCCATACTGTAAAGTCTTTTTAATTGCACAGACCTCAAAAACTAGCTCAAATTCAAGTGGAAAATCCCTAGGAAAATATGTACGTAGAATCGTAACGGCTTTATTTATACATTGGTTATATTAATATTAAGTCAAAGCCTATTTTCTGCAAAATCTGTACGGAATGTGCAAAATCAATGCAATTCAACAAGTGCAGAGGATGGAGGTGATACAGATTTTTTATAGGATTTACTCCTTGACAAAACACTACCACTTTACATTTTTCAATTAGCAATTAATTAGTAGGCTAAGGCTTGCTACGGTTAGACTACTACTGACTACTGTTACAGTCCCTGATGATCCAGAACAAATAATGAATACACTGCCACAATATACTGTAGCCTAGATTTTTTAGCTGATGATACAGCCTAAAAACGCAGCTGCAGTGGTTGTCCAGAAGAAAATGTGTCTGATTGTCAAGGATCCTACATAGTAGTTGCCCAACCCGATGCCTAGCTGGTCTAGGCCTAGGCCTATAGGGCGATGGGTAGTAGTAGCAAACATCCTCATCTGATCATCATGAAATATATTATAGCCTCGTGTCCAGCTCTGCTGATCCGATTCTGTAAATAAAACTCATTCAACAAGTGTCATATGCCTACCTTTTGCAAAAGATAACAGTAACCTTGAATTCTTCATTTCCAACCACTTATAATATTGATAGCTAGTAGTTCACGTATATTCTATAATCAGTAAGAAGTTGTAAGAATCCAAAGCGCAACCATTGAAACATGTAAGTTCCGTGAAGTCGTGACAGCAAAATCCAACGCTGGAAGAGACACTCTCTCGGCCTAGGCCCTAGCTGCTAGGCCGCCGCCTAGTTCAGGCCCTAGCTAGATGGAAATGTACTTTCAAATCCCCACAGATCTAACAACTATACCATTACACAGAATCGTTTGTTTATATGCGACATAAACATGTAAGATGTGCTGAAGTAAACTGACATAGGTAGGCCTATTCAATGTAAAATGCGATCTCCATTCGGTATACTAACATGCCAAAATACATCTTTACGTTTCACCAGAGCTGAGTGTTACTAGAGAGTAGTGGTAGTGGTGTTGTAAAGGTAATCTCCCAACCCTTAGCAAATTACTCTGACGACACGAGTTAAGTAGGTTGGTAATGATGATGTCATCATTTTTGTGCTCAATCGTTTACACGTAAAGGAGTACAGGACTGTATACCAATGTACGTGATCGGCATTAATATAATTTTAAAATATATATAATCGGCATTTGGCATAATTAATGTGTTCGGCGCTCTAGTCTCTAATAATAATATATGATTTTTATTATTTATTATTATTTATTATTTATTTATTATTTATTATTTATTATTTATTATTTATTATGTATTATTTATTATTTATTATTTATTATTTATTATTATTATTTATTATTTATTATTTATTATTTATTATTTATTTTTTATTATTTATTATTTATTTATTCATTTCATTTCGTCTTTATTTCGGAAAATATGTACATGGTGCAGTACAATATTCTCCATAGCTCAAACATTAATAACAGAGGCCGAAAAAGGACCAAAACAATAACAAAAGCAAATTATTATTATTTAACATTTATTATTATTACTAAACAAACACTGTTTACGGTGTTTAATTGAAATAGTAACCCTAAAAATTCAACTCATTTCAATTAAATGCTGTACATTATTTTAAATTTCTATCATAAGACCATGGCATGACAGTGTAGTGGGCCTACCAAATAAAACTTTAAAACTCAAAACATTTCAATAGGACTACAGTAGTAGCTTTGAAATGAAAATCAGAACTCAAGAAAAGCAAGTTTCGTCGGTAATTTTCTTTAACAATTAACAGGGGTCGTTCAACATTATCAACATTTTCACAAGTGTACAAACAGTACACTAGGGGAAGAGGGTAGGGGGAAACATCCCCCTGTCGGAGAGGCCTACATTCCCCCCACCCTTGTCGGGGAGAAAAACCATAATTCGTCAGGGAGATAAAAAAAAAAATTCAAAATAATTATATGTTGGCCTATTTTGTACATATCAATCTCTAATATGACTCTAAAATTGATTAAATAAGCCTTTCAAGCCCCTAAATTGTCATATTTTCGGGGGATACGTCCCCTGGACCACTTTCGAAAGGTTTTCAGCGACGCCCGACCACGCCCACTTTTTTCTCGTCGGGGACATTAGCCCCTTCCTCCCCCATCGGGGACCTTGGACCCCCGTCGAGGAACTCCTGGCGCCACCACTGGGGAGGGGGTAAACAAATGTGTACACTTTTAAATATGCATAAAAATGTAGATTCAAAACAACGTCCATTGTGTAAAATAATTGTAAAATGATAATGTAGGCCTAACCATGGATATAATATTCATTTTTAAGCAACCATCTACATTACTTTAGTTCACATCACAAATAATGGAGAATGGTTTTGCAAAATCAACATCTTTTGTACAATTTCAGAGGGGAGGGAGGGGGTACCGAAAAAGAGTAATGTTTGTACACTTGTGAAAATGTTGATAATTGTAAACGACCCCTAAAGAGATGGATTCAGTCCCCACTTCCCTTAGATTAGGCCTACCAGTCAAACTATTAACCACCGCCCAACTCACCTGCATACTAAATTTCAGAGATCGTCTAGAAAATTGTAAGTAGGCCTGTTGTATCATCCAAGAATACTTTTCTGCCAGCACATTCACATGCAGGCAGTAGGTATATTCATAATGCCGATGCATATACACCCTTAAATATTGCCAGTAAAAATTATTTAGTAAGTCATCTGTAATTTAAAAATTTAAAAAAAAATCACTTATTGAACCTGTAACTTCTTGAAAGTGTTGATACTTTCTTCTTTTTTTTTTTTAAAGGGATTTTAAATTAATTTAAAAAAAAAATCCGGTGTTAAAATTTCTAATGTATATTTAAGTTAATTCTAACGTCTTTGGGAAGATCCTCAGGAAAAATATGCCTGTATAAAATCCGACAAAAATTTCGTAATCTATAGCAGAGAAATTTAGAAATAAAATATATTATTTTATGGTTAATCAACATCCGTTTTTTCAAAGAATTAATTAATATGCATTTCGAATTCTTTCCTATAATGTGTGTAAATAAAGGCTGGGAAAAATATTAACATATATAGTGAGACGAGCATTCTTTTTCGGAGAAGCTGTGAAAATGTTAATAAAATATTATTAAAACATACCGTACATGTTTTTAAATAGAATTTTTTACTTTGAACTCCCCTTTATGCTCTACTCCCTTTTGGGACTTTAATGTATAACTTATGTATTTGTTAATTGGTACGATATAGGCCTCGTCTATAGGCCGAGTGACTTTCAGGCCTTCTCTCGGTCTGTGGTGAAATCTGAAAAACCTAAATTAAAAACTTTATTTGTTTATTGTTCTTTTAAACTGTTTTAATAATGTACTAATTTTCAATGAAAACAGATCAAAAATGATTTACAGACATTTTTCTACTGCAAAAATAATTTTTTTTCCTTAACATTCAGTTACCTCATGTGTCCAATGAATCAAAAGTCAATAAGTATTCATATTGATTATAAATTCGATAGAACAAATTACCATGGGGATTCATGTATCTGACATAAGCCCTATCTATTGGTAGAATCGCGTGTGAAATATGTATAGTCTAAAAGTTATTTTAATTCGTTTGATGAATCACAGGAAATACCGTACACTTTGAATTTAATAACTTTGAAATAACAATTGTTTTTAACCCATTGATTGACTTTTTGATGGTACAATTATACTATTAGCACATATGGCGAGGTCTATCGTATTTCAAAAATTAGAGTGCAACATAGGTTACCTCTCCATAAATATCACAAAATGAGGTACAGTACTAATGAGGTAATTTAAAAAATCCATTTGATGTTCTAAAGGATTAGGCCTACTACTCACCGTATAAAAGAAATAATTAGTAAAAAAGTAAAAAGTAAAAGTAAAAAAGTGAATCAAAGTTTCTTCTGTACACTCTATGACTGAACGGTCTCTATTCCCCTCTGACCAGACCCGTAGCCAGCGGACGCCCTACCCCCACCTCCCAATTTCAGAAGGTCCACTTTTATATTATAAAAGTATCTCATTTGCCAACTCTTCTAACCGTTGAGATTTATAAACTCTAGTACAACATTTGTTGGAAATTGATCAGCTCCGGTGATTATAGATTGGTCCATATGGACAATGTTATAGTTAACAACACCCAAATAAATGAAAATTTAAATAGAACATTCATGAACGGGGGGGGGGGGGCAGAGGCGCCATAAATTCCCCGACGAGGGGTCCAAGCTCCTCGAAAAGAGGNCCTCCCCTCCCCCCCCCCACACACGGTAGCACTGCCTGCAATGATCTTCCCATCCTGCTTTATCAATCGGCGATGGCCAACAAGCTTATAACCACTACCCACCATTGCATCTGCTATTTTTGTTAGGAGGCGGTAATAAAATTAACTTATTTGTTCTAGCTCTCTATAAAGCAACCAGACATTGTTTACAGTTACCTACTAATTTAGGTTACTATCAAATAATATTGCCTATTTTTTCTCATTATTATATTGATAACCGTACCTATGTAGGCCTACTTAAATTATTAACCGTTGGCACATTCTTTTGTTCACCTTTTCTGAAATCAATAATAATAATAATAACAATAATAATAATAATAATAATAATAATAATAATAATAATAATAATAATAATAATAATAATAATAATAATAATAATAATAATATTTATTTGGAAATCGCTTTCGAAACAGCGGTACACAATACTTGCTGTGACGGTGCATCCATACACAAACATAATATTAGTACAATCCATGAGCTATTATAACTCTATGGTACAATCACATCTATCATGAAGATGTACATCAAAAGTGCATAGGCCTAAATTAAATCTGTTGTTCTCTTAACATTTGTTATTTGAGCACCAATTTGCGAAATAATTATCATGGTAAACTCTGATATCATTATTTTTAACAAGCACTACTAAACAAGTGTCATCTGCATATTAACAGTAAAACATCTCGAATCAGCATCTAACAAATGCAGTTGAATCTTTTGTATACAAGGAAAATATAATTGGTCTTGAAACACAGCCCTACTCCTATCGTTTAAAAAAAATATTAATCCAAACAATGGGTTGATTCTTAAGTTGCTCACTCATTTTGTCCATTAAAATATGAGGTTGCATTGTGTTAAAAGCAGATGAAAAGTCTAAAAACAGTATTCTTGCACAAGTATGAGTATTATCAAGCTGACTAACCAGTAATAAATATGAAACATCATCGACGCCTCTCTAGAACGATATGCAAATTGGCAAGTATCCCGTTTGTTCTCTGTTTCAGCAGGAATCTTATTTTCAACTATTTTCTCCAAAGTATTTTATTGACACAGAAGTGATAGGTCTGTAATCAATGAATCGTTAAGTGACAAAGAATTATTTTTCCTTGGCAATGGATAAATGTGTGATTTTCATTCCAAATTCTTGACATGATGTCATAAGTGAGGAGACCAATACAATACAATATTGTTTTATCATTATCATCATAATCATAATCATCATCATCATCATCCCCACCACCACCACTACCACCTTCGGGTACTGTACATAACCTCTGTAAATAGAGTACGGTATACTCGCATAGCCCTAATGCATCACAACTCACAGATGAAGGCGCCAAGGTGAAGTGGTGGATTGGGGAGGGGGACTCGATGATTAGGTGAGTGGTGCTAGCTAGCGGTTTTTAACTAATTGAGCATGATTTGGGGATACCGGGGGTGTTTTTAGGGATGGTGCCCCCTAGATACGCCACTGAGCGATGATTGAACAATTAATCAGTGGTCGTGTCGTAACAAAGAGGTCTGAGGCAACGAAAGGCTTCTCATGGATCAAAATTTGTATGTTTTTTACACATTAATCCCCCATGTAGGACCCACTCAGCCAATGAATGGGGAAAAAATAAAGGTGCCACACCACGAAAGACACCCGAGCACATTCTGATCCCTACTACCAACAGGGGCGGACGCCCGAAAATAATATATGAGGCATTTTGGGCGATCAATTAGTTCTTTTCTTTCTTTCTTTCTTTCTTTTTTTCTTTCTTTTTTTAACTTTCCAAAAAAAATGTGGGGAGGGGGAGGCGGCCACCCTCCAAATCCGTCCCTGAAAATTAAACATTAAGTAATAGCAGGAACATTTATTTTCACATCTTCCTGGTAATAGGCCCATCAATGGGTTCTTAGTTTATATGTTTTCAAATATGGGTTAATGCATGTTACAACCTAGTCTTAATACAAAATAACGAATTTGAATGATGCGCCGCACATCGTGTTTTTTTAACGTAGGCCTACATAGGCGGGAAGCTCCAAAAAGTTGTAAGTACTCTAATTGGTTTAATCAGTTTGAAAAATAAAATATAGACTGACTTAAAATGTATTTTTAAAGAATTTTATATTTCAAACATAGAAAACGTAGGCCTAGGTCCCTACATCGGTTTTCTCTATTTAAGAGTAATTTCTACATAAAAGAAATAAATATGATTTTACTGCAGAGGGCGACTATACACAAACTGCCAAATACAGTAGAACCTACCTCGGATTGGAAGGGCTTTGAATGCCTATGTTTATATTAAAAAATAAAATAAAATGTTTGTTGAATTAAATGACGTCTTTAGATTAGATTTTTTTTTTCTAAAACACCAAGGATAACCAACGAAAGGGCCTTCTCGTGGTGAATTAGGCAGTAGGCCTACACCAGGAGACAATTCTTCCTACTCAATTTCCCAATGAGTGGACTACGTTCTTTAACGGCATGGACTATATTGCAAATCGACTATCGTCCGCCAGACAGTGCGCTATTTACACTGGCATTTTACCCGCCAAGGAGGGGTAGTGATGGAAAAAATGGAGAGCAAGAAATTTCGAGGGTTCAGCGCGCACACAGTGGTCACCAGTTTGCAACCCCACCGAGATAAGCTGCTAAATGAAATAAAAACTGTGGCACACATGAATTGCTACTAATACTAATATTAATTTTCAAAATGGCCATTCTTTTGGAATGTCGGGATTACAACCACTGGACCACGAAGGCTTTGTGGTAAAGGAGGCGCAAGCGGAAAATGTAGAGGGGGTGGGGGTTTACAGAGTTTCATCAGGGAACAGTGAAAATTACTTCAATCATTCATGCAACAAAACTCAGTCTTCAGTTCTCGGAGTAGCTTTGTCTTTTTAATTATTTCATTTTGTACTATAAACAAGGAGGTATAAAAATAATACATTTAAATTTCATTTAATTTATTAGAAAATTAAAAAAACAAACGAAAGCTAAAACAACAATAACAAGCGAACTAATTCGCTGTTGAAAACTCTTTTAACAGAAGTAGGAAAGTATGTGTATAGGCCTACAATCAATAATTTAAAATAATTCTGATAAAGAATATCTTATTTGAAGTTTACAAAATCTCGGAAAAGTGAAGATTGAAAAAAATAACGCGAGCGAAGGGAGGGCTGAATAGAATATCATAGGAAGACAAATCATAATCGACTAAATAAACACTTAACTACAAAAACAATAGTTTGGGAGTTAATCCGAGATGAGATATGGAAGAAGTAGGCCTATCGTATTTATATGAATACTTCTTTAAACTGCTTCACTATTTGCATGGGTCTGTGTCAGATCATGGAGTTTCCTCCATGGTCATATTTACTGTTTGGTTGATTTGTTTACCGCTGCATGCTCTGAGATATGGTACGCTAAACTGCAAGAAGTATAATTTCTTAAAATTTTAGAAGAGTTCTTTAAGCTATGTTTACCAACTAAAATGAAGCACAGAATTTATCCGCATCAGCAAAATGAGCGTTGGCTAGGGAAGGGGAACGTCTGGGACTCCACTCTCATAGCAGGAAAATAGTTTTGCTAAGTGGGTTAAAAAAAATCGACCATTGAGTTTTCATTGTACTGTAATAGGGATTTAGTTGCGCAATCTCATTTTTTTGCATAACTTCTCACAGGCAAAAGCCAGCCTACGCCCTTGGGCAATGTGAGAATCAAAGACATAAAATTAGATATCACCAGCCTGTGGTAATTTACTAAGTGTTGTCTGTACAAACATTAAGTCATTGTTCGATTAAAAATAATTTTAAAAAAATCAAAATCAAATCATTACAGGAATATCTTGAAATAATCTCATCTTGGCACAAATGTATAATTATCGTATCTTAAAATGTTCTTTTTTGTTGATCCAATAAGAGAAAAATATTATTTATTCACTCACATACTGTACTACGTTTCATTCTCAAGTAGACTCAACAACACTAACCGAGGTGACGTCAAACCAAGCTGGACTTTAACATCGTCAGTTTAGTTGATAAATGGAGTGGATCGTTTACGAAATATTAAGTATGTGAGTAAATTATATTTTCTCAAGATAATTACAGGAATAGACATGAAAATAAATAACACAGAAACTAATTTATTATGACTTTATTTCTTCCAATTAGGAACATTACATAATTATTGTACAAACAGATATATGCTTGAATAATTATATTATACTGTACAAAATAAAGGCAATTGTTATATTGTTTATCTGCAATTACTAATTGGGCATTATGCGCCAAATGACGCGAAACAGATAGGTAAGACAATTATCAATACTACATGTATACAAAGTAAAAAATAAATAAGAATATTATTTACAGTATACATATTTATGCTGGCTGAACAAATTTATGTAATCTAAAAAGACACTCAATGAGCAACAAAATATATAAAATTTTGATCTGGCACACTTGGTTCAAGACAAAGTGGGAGAGGAAATCCTATGTCAAAGACACTGAGAGAAAGAGGATAAGGGTGTCAGTTACATTAAATATGGAGATTTTCTAATCGTCAGAAAATTTACTAGTGGACAGAATTTGAACCCATTACTCTGGGACTGTAAGACAAGCACCTCCACCAAGTTACAGCCAAACCACTGGACATACTATAAAATACAATAATACTTTGTGTATTTAATCTACAACACAAAGGTGACATGGTTTGGATGAACAGAATATACAGAGAGAGGACTACACCTTGATTTCAGTTGTAAATAGTATTCACGCATGGCTCCTCTTCCCCTAACATTCCTATTGATTACCATATTTTTGGTTGTATACTAAAATAGAATAGTGTGGGGGTGTGCAGTGGAAAATGGAATGCATGTACTTGTGTATGTGTATCAAAATTACATTGGAAAATTATCACAAAGTGAATATAAGAGACCAAATACCAATGCTAATATTAAAATTACAATTTCCAAAAAATATAAATATGTGTTATTTCAACCAAAATAATCCTAAATCAAGTACTATAAAAATGTTAACATTATCTTACACAGACTTAAAATGTAAAATTGTAGTCATTTTTGTAATTCAGTAGTTTACTGTATATTTCAAATAAACTGAATAAACAAACAGATGGAATCTGATGTACACTTTCAAAAACTGAGACTCAAAAAATTGCTATTGTTTTCTTGATTACATGTTAAAACATAAAGAGGTAGAGTTAAAAGGAATATCTTTATAAACTTTTGAAGGTATTGATAATTACTTAATAGAGAAAACACCTACTGAGCGAGATACGTCTGCTACAAGTATATGTGTATATATATATATATGTGTGTATATATATATATGTGTATATATATCTATATATATATATATAATCACCTTCAATTTCATAATATTTGAAAAGTATATGCACTCACACTCGTAATGAATTCCACATACAGAAATATTCTCCCACTGTAAACCCTCTCACATGTATAGTAGTTTCATAAAAAACAAAAACTGAGGTAGAAATATTTTCCTAACATCTTAACTCAATATTAACAGTGATGATGTGAAGTCTCCCTTCTTCAAGGACTAAGCAAAGGTCTGTTAGGTTATACATTTCTTTCTTTTTGGTTCTAACAGAAATCACTACAAAACAGAAAATTGAGAGAATGGAAATAGCATTCCATTTATTTGGAACTCAGAAGGATGATTTTTATGTGGTTGGATATAATGTAGGCTTTAATATACAGTAAAAGGGAAATATATTTTAGATAAAAACATTTTATATTACACTATAATTTAATATACTTTGTAAATCTATCTTCGCATCACTTGACTCCTCAATTTGTCTACCGTCCCTGCGAACATCACAATTATAATGCTGATAAATTTGGAATGGTAGCAACTTAGTATATTAGATTCTCAAAGAAATAAACTGGATACAGTGTTAGCGGGTGACACCTGGGTTCCCAAGTTTCCTGTGAGTAGCAGGAGTCTTCTGGAACCAGGCACGATTCTCCGCCCTCCTGTGAAGAAGCAAAAATCTCTTGAAAAACTAATCAATCGTCCACAAATACATTGCATGTTTTTACTACTGTATTAATTTTCTCCTTGAATTCAGCTGGCCATGGATATCCCACAAACAGCAAAAAATATGCTTTTATCATATTAGGGAGCTCTCAATTGACAATGTACAATGAGAAAGTACAACTCATCATGACTTCTACTTTAAATAAATTTTGATGTCTTACGCCGGGTTTTTGGAGATGTCACAAACACAGATTGATGTACCAATATTCAATACAGTACAGTCCTCAATGTTGATTCGGCCCAGATTTTAGGAGAGAACCTAACACACAACGTTCAGACATGCGCAGTTAAATTAACATGGTGTCATTATGTTCTACCGTTCTATGTCGTCACAAATCAAAAACTCACTATTAACTTATGTATTGCCTTTAAAGGGTTAAGAGAAAAGAGCAGTGACATGGACTCTTCTACTGCCTACTCTTTGTCTCTTGGCTGTTTTCCTTTGTTTCTTTTAGGATACTGGTAGATCTTATATAATACTATATATTTTGTATATACCAACAGAATAAGAATTAGTATAGTTGTTTTCTATATGCCAATCGGAAATTTGATACATTTGGGAGTGATATTGAATCAAAAAATTTGTTCTTTTGCACTAATCTATATTTCACGGATTAGTTTTCCAAGTGTATGGAAAATAACTATACTTATTGCTAAATTTTACTCTCACTGGAATGATATAGCAAATGTCATTCCATTACATCAACTTCCAACAATACAGTAGAACCCTATATAAAATAATCTGTGTTTAAATTGAAAGTATATATTTCAGCATTAAAAAAATTATGGTAGTCAAATCATCATTATTTTAAATAGTCCTGGTCTTGAAATGATTATTAAATGCATAATACAAAATCAAGCATCCACTTTAATTTGATTGAAAACATATATTTATATATTAAATAAAAAAATAAAAAATAGAAAGATCAGATATCCAAGGCTTCAGATAAAGAAAATACTAAAACTGTTTCATATTCAAATTTGAATAGTTCAATAAATTGGGTAGTCACATATATCTAGGTGGTTAGGATTTGTCACTTGAAATTTATACTTTGAAACATAAATTTATATTCAAAATAACAGAGCCATAGTCTGTTTGATAATTTACTTGCAAGCTGTATTAATCAGTCAAGAAAGACAATAATACTAAACTCATCAACCACTATTAAATTAACCATGATTCAAAAGGGAAAACCTTGCAAAATTAATTATGAATATGTGTACATCAATTCAAAATTTACCATTCATATCTATAACAGCTTATATGCCTGTAATGAGAATGATTAACCATTAGTTTTCATGTAGAAAAGAATACATTATTTCGCAATTTAAAATTTGCATATTAACATAGGTAACATAATGCAACAAATTGAATCTGTCACGAAATGAGAGAAATCAGAATATTTTTTAGTGCCATGAAACCAAAAGTATCATAAATACAATATAATTTTCATCAAGATTGCAAAAGTACTATACTGCATTACATGTCTATGTAAGACTATCAATGAAATGATTGGTAGACTTACTGACCTTTGATGAGCATTTGTCTTCAAGTGGTTCAAACATGAAACAAATTTAAAACTAGTAGACCACACAATCAGTACGTTTAATGTACACTTTCATAATTAGCGTAATGGTAATTAAGATTCAAATTAATTTGCAACATCTTTTTTTTTTGTTCCAATATGAAAAATCATGAAGGCCAGATAATATACAATGCTCATCTGAAGATTTCTTGTAGAAAACAGAAGGAATATAAAAATATAAGTCACTGGTTATCAACATATTCTTCTCTCTCAAAATGTTCCTCGGCCACAACGACACATTTTCTTGAAAGTGATTGCTTTTATTTTCATGTTGGTCACAGGAACCTTTGCCGGAGCTCATCTGAGAGGCTTGATAGATTCCATCGAAGACTTTCCGAGCTTCCTGTCAGGGTACATGTTTCACATTAACATAAAATTTTGCTTCAGGAATCTCAGAAATAAAAATGCTTATATAAAGTACTATCACTTTGCGGAGTTCTTTTCATGAACTTTGACATTCAAACTGTCTTGTATTTTAAATCATTTATGTCGTAGATATTCAATTGCCACAGCATTTGAGTGAATCACTGTCACTCTCAATATCATGCATGGATATTAAACTTTCTGTCTGTTCCTGGTCTTCAGGTAATCTAAGAGGGGGGAAACATGAAAGATGTAAATTAAGGGTTTGGATGATATTGCTTTGCACATAATATAGTCTCAATGCTGTTCAAATATGATACCACTAATAATAATATTACCACTAATAAATGGTACCCTGTATGAAAATATTAAATACATAAATGATAGATTATTGCCCTGCTGACAGGGAATATTAAGTGATTATTATATAGCATAAAGTTCAACCTCCATAAGCATTGCCTAAGGACACAAGCAATGTCTCCGTCAGGAAGAAAAACCACAATTAGTCAGGAGATTAAAAAAAATTCTATGTATCTTCTACATATTAGTATTTATCTATAAAATTGACTAAACAAGCCTTTGAAACCCCTAAATTGTTATATATTTCAGGGGATCACTTTTGAGACATTTTGGGCGATACCGACCACGCCCCCTTTGCTCTAGTCGGGGACAATGGTCATCTGTCTGGCAAACGCTGGTTTCACCCCTGGCAATGCCACCAGCCTTGCGCAACCATATCAGAGGTTGCAAGCCTCCTGGAAATTGGGACAGCCTCCAGTACTCCCACAACAAGCAAGAATCTCCTGGAATAAAACCAATCTTCCAACTACAGTAATTCAAAACATTTGCATGATTTTAATACTTTATCAATTGTCAGTACAGAAAGATATCACCATGCAAAGCAAAATAAAGTCAAACGTGTTAAGAAAGCTCATTTAAGCAGATCTCCAAGAAGTTACTTGTTCTAACTTGGAGCCCTGCCATATTAAGGTTATAAGCGAAGACCTTACTGCTGTACTACATTTTCTATCTAGTATTCCGATAAACTACTCACCTTGTTTGAGATCGTTTTTTGAATATTGCACTGACTAGCGATTTGATACAGTTGAGGAGTTTGCAGGCTGCCACCCGAATGGGATCCCAGTCATTGTAATGATTTAAAATGCTGACTGCTATGAAGGACAGGAATACAGGACCAGCACCAGCAAAGAACATCCACGTAAATTTAACCTAAAATAGGAGACAAAAATCAAAGTGAAATAATTATTATAAAAAAAAACAATAATAATAATAACAATAACAATAACAACATAAATAATAATTAATAACAATAACAACAACAACAATCCATATCATACATTACAATTTGTAGCAATCCACATGGTAATAATTAAAATAAATCAAGGGCCTATAGTAATAGTATCACAAACGTTAACTTTCTTTAAACCATATTTTTAATCTAGAAGAAACCTATATAAAAGCAATTTCAGCATAATCTTGAATATTTTCAATCCATCACTCCTGAAATATGCAATTTAAATGTCAATATTAAATCAACACCAGTTGAGGTGTATCTCCATACCAAAGTTACTTTAATGTGATTTACTATTATTCATTGCGTATTACATAATACCTTGAGAAAAATGTGTCTTAATTGGAAAAGCCAAGGGTGTACACCACTTGGCCTCACAGCTCAGTTGGTAGAGTTTCTAAACGGTAATATGGGGACATACATTTTTCTCAAATACTTATTATCAAATTAAACACAAAAGTAATACAAAGTGAATAACCAAATGTAAATATAGAAAATTATGAGTACTACAGTGTTACGTCACGATACCATGTGATACTACTCCGATGCTACAGTTGCAAAATGCGTTCAACCGCTTTCCTTCACTGACAAACCATTGATCCCAATTTCTAACGTAATTATTAAGATGTCGTACCTTACTTTTTCTTTGTAGATTTTAATTGATGATTAAATGTGTGTTCGATAACTAATATAATGCGAACTTTTGTGTTTTTAGTACATTTTGATGGCAAAATATTAGATTTTAAATGCCTATTCCAGAAAACCTATGCAGGCATTCTGGCGTAATGAACGGTAACCAACGTATAGTTGGCAACAGAGGCCGCTACCTGGCTTTGTGACGACACGACTGTGGTACTCTATAGTATTTCACTTTCATTAGTAGCATTTAATTAGTAGTATTCATACTAAATAATAATGAATTATTATTATGAATTATAATATTGTCAGTCTATGACTCCCGCATACAATTAACTACAACAATAATTTTGCAATTTAATTGTTAAATAAACCATTTAACATCGTATAATTAAAATATATTAAAATAATTACCAATTTTTAAAAATCATCATCATGAAATTAACCAATAAATGAAGTATCAGGCAGTGTTTCACTTTCATCATTTAATTAGTATCGATATTAATTACTGTCATATATCTATATCAAAAAGAAACTGAAATAAAAGTATACAAATCTGCGTACATTATTTAGGAATATGTCAGCGATAACTGATAGCGGGATTGTTAGACTTAATGAGAGCGTAGCGATGAGAGAAGACGTCAGAAAACAGCCCCTGATGAGACAAAAATAGCACCATGATTAGATTAGATAACAATACATCAATATAGAGTATCTAAGTGCAAGGTATCAAAGTTGGTTAATTACTGGTGATTCTTTTATCTAACTCAGATGAAAATTATGGGCTGAAGAGATAAACATAACTGGTTACTATCAAATATGAAATTTCTCTCATTATTGACAGGAAATTGAAATGAGAAAATACTTTCAGAGAAAATCAAAATCATGTATTTTCCTAATCAAAAACAAAAGGTATATGATATAACATGCTCCAAATGACCAAAGTAACCTGGTAATCTTATAGTATGTACTTAAATACCCAATCCTTGACAAAACCAAACTAATTAGGTTTTTTATTACCCAGTCAAACAATTCCATTTTGTGCAGTATATTTAGGAATCACTTCTCAAATACTACTACTACTAGTTATATTACACAATCAACACAAATAAATATTATTACCCTGTATAATCAATAAACTTACAGAACAGGTATAGCACATAACCTAATCATTTCAATTACATCAATCTAGTATATTATCTGGTTAAATATACAAACCAGCAGCAATTTAAAATTTATAAATGCTTATACAGTTTAGTTGTCTAAAATGGTCAACATTTTTATCAATCTTTTAACTTCTTTTTTCACCATAGTGTCCTACTGTATGCCTCTGCCAGGGTCTGGAGCAGCATGGGGACTTAGTAGGGTCGAGTGACTGGGTATAATGGGGGTCGGGGGAAAATTCTCAAGAAGCTACTTGCTCTTGAGATATTTAGATAACAGGATGAGTTCTTTGCTCTGGAGCAATTTCCTGCTTTCTCCATTTTGCAACTACTGAATATTTTCAAAACCTGAACAAGCAATTATATAAATGTAAATAGTACAACCTTAATTAAATATATTATTGACTTGTACCACTGTATAGACATCACACATTTGCTTACTTAATTACACACACACACACATACCATAATATTCTAATATTGATTCCTGTATAAACTCAATGTAAGTGTAAAATCATTATGACTAATGAACAAACTATGCTTAACACTGAGAATATGAAATGCACCTAACTGAGAAGCTGCATGCAACAAATGTGCTGAGGTCAATAAACAGGATTAAGAAGGTCTCATGTCATTGGATGACACACTGTCAATCTATTCCTATTATTAAAAGCCAGTTACAATGATGTAGTCATGCTGTTCACATGGATGAATCTGACAATTGCCTACCGAAGCAAATTCTCTACTCTGAGCTAAAGGAAGGCAAGCATAAACAAGCGGACTAAGGAAAAGTTTAAAAGATACCCTAAAAGCAACATCGATGTCAAAAACTGGAAGCCAATGCCAAGGACAGAACACTTTGGCGTACCATAATCTGAGAGGGAACTATGGTACAACCTTAAAAAAACAACAGGAGCGCAGAAATAGAAAAAAAAAGAAGAAATAAACGAAAAGCAAGACAGCTTAGACCAAATACCAGACACGGATCCAAAGTTTACCCTGATTATCGTACAGATGAGGCCTCAGAGTGGGGGAGGTCATGAGAAAAGAACGTAATGTTTGCTTGTTCAGTCACTGGAAATCAAATTTTAGACGTCTTAGTCACGACGTGTCCTTCGGAAAGTTTTGTTTTCTAGATGCTTGAAAATGCACTTTCGTGCATTATGAAATGTCTATTAATTAATAAATACACTCTGAATTCATAGATTTCCTTACTTCACTATGAACAATTAATAATAATTATGATGATGATGATAAGGAGGAGGCAGCCTAGGTAATGACAGGCTCCTGTGGCAGATTAATTAACAGGCCATTTGATATGAAGTGTCAACTGGGGCCTGTAGTTCCTCGTCACATTTTCAATGCTTTTATAATATTAGTCTATTACATGACCACAACATCAAAGTTCATTCTTTAGATGTTTAATAGCATAGTACAAAAAATTTTGATTGTTATTATACACATGATCCAATTTCTAAAAAATTATGTTTTCAGTGCATGTGTCGATGTGGAAAGTTTAACCTAATAATCTTAGTTAATAAATGGTTCTAAAATTCATCTTATGACCAGAACTTTTAAGTTGTAACTTCTCTTAAAGTAAATATAATAATGTAATTCTTTTACTAATTGTACTCTCACCATAACCAAACTTGGTATTATTGTACCTCCACCAGCTGGGAAAATAATTAAATATGCATAATTTTCTACACAAGGGATTGGCAACAGTATATAATGTATACGTCAGTTGTGAAAAAGTCCTTGTCATTGAGTCCAGGATTTTGGTAGTAAATATGAGCACTAACCACAAGCTCTGTCTTAACATATTGTGATAAAAAGTCAACTTTGAAATCAATAGATATATAAAACAAAATGGAGTTGTGAATTTCTAAAGTGACAGTGCATATCATTTAAGATTTTACTGTATCATCACACAGAAAACTTCAAAGTTATGATAATGGTCAACGAAAACACCATATGTTGGTTTGCGATAGCACGGCATCAAACATACTACCACCAATGAAACTAATTGCAAGGTTTGCAATTTGTTGGAAGATAATTCATTGGTACAATATTTTACAATTAAAATCAGAGACATTACCATGAAAAATTATTTTAAAAGGTTAAATGAATAACTCTTGGTATCCTGCGGGCCATAGATATAGAACCACTTTCACTACTGTAATGAAAGTACATCTTATCAATATTACAAGCATTGTAAAATTAGATATGTTAATCCTACATAAAAGGTTAAAGCCAGGAGAAAAAAAAATGTTGATATGTTCTGAGATTTTCTGAGAGACACAATAGGTGTTCGACGAAAACCTCTGGATCCTACCTTCTATGCATTTACATAATCCAACCGTTAGATTTGTTGCATTATATTAATTTTTAAATTAATTTTAATAATTCTTTAAAGTTTGTATCATGGTTAAACCTTTCTGCAGTTCTCCAGGGCAACACTACATTCATAATACTAAGCAAAATTTTAAAAACGTTTTTCATTTGACCATTTTTAGCATGTGCGAGTAAGAACCAAGTTATTAAACCTGCATGCAACACTTGGAAAATGCCAATTTCGTTATTCTTGAAATGTTCATTAAAATGGGCATGGCAATAAAAACATACTTCATCAGTGTCAAAATTAAAAAGTATAATTTTTGTAATTAACGAAAATAATACTACTGTACTTACTTTAAAAAAATTACCTTCAATACTTTAATAACACTTCGTAATATAAATGAGTACATGTGAAAGTCTATTTACTACAATTACAATCTAAAAGAATTTAGTATATAGTAAAATATAATATAGTGAAATATAACTGAAAAGGGTATGTCATTTTTGTGTTGCAAGTAAATAATATGCCAGAAAAGTGAAGGTAACCAGTGAGTGCGGTGTCAGATGAGGATGAAATAAATAAGAATAAATGAGTTGAACCAAGTTCAAAAGCTTCAACAAAAATTAAATTTTAAAGCCATCTGCGATATTTTCTCTCTAGGGACAGCTTGTCCATAAGGATTTCCAATGGATAAAGATGACCACAGATTTCATCTAGCTAAAAATGATTGAAACCCTTTTAAAATGCACAGGAGGATATACTTCATTCCTTCCAAACGAAAGAGAGAGATGAGTTGCAGTATCTTGTCATCTAAACTTGACTAAAGCATGACAATCTATTGAGGGGCATATTTAGGTTATGGAAAGCATTTGATGAGAGTTATCTGGCGACACAGTGGATTACAGGGCTAATGAATGCTTCCTTCACCCCTTCACAGCTGGTGTACACTACCCAAGGCTTGCTTAGACTATATTGCCAGGATGTACACATGTGTAAGTGGTCAATCTCAAGATGGTTTGTTTATCATCCTACACCACAGTTAATCTACAGTATCAATGCTGTATTTTTATTGAGTTGATTTTCAGAGTCAATTCACTCTGGAATATTAAATGGGAAATAATTGAACCGTTAAAATCTTTCACTTATTGTCAACACATTTTAACAAATTTGATACTTGGCCTCACTATTAGGTAAGCTTTCAGGGGTGGATTCAGAAAAGCGCACCTACTAACAAAATTTTACTAGCAATGTTTTTTTATCAATGTGTAAGTAGGCCTAAATTAAAACTTTTAGAAAGTCCTATAAAACTATTAGTTTATCAACCTATTAATTTATAAACAACACCTGTCATATTTCTAAGGGGAAACAATTTGTCTAACATTTTGATTTTTAAGAGTTTTTTTTTGTAATTTGTGACAAATTTCTCAATACCGAATATATTTATGGGGATAATTTAACATTTTGACTTTACTATACAGTATAATAAATTATTGTTTACATTTAAATTTAAAGCATCACTTCCAGATGTCTAAAGGGGCCATATTTTTAGAGGGATGTGCCCTTCTCTTGTCGGAGAGAAAAAATTTATAGGCTGTCTTTAGAGACCATTGTACATCTTACAAATACATTTTCTTTATGAATTTGGAAGAAAATTGTGAGCGAGTTACCGGTAGTATTTTTTCCATTACTTGCATTTGCAACAAACTTGTCATCGCAGGCATTTCAATGAACTGCAGATGCATTTAATCTTGGAATGTACTCAATATTGGCCTGTACCCTACACTAAGATTTTGCACAAATATATCACAGTAGGATCATTCCTTACTGAAGTCTGGTTTCCATAAAATCTCTGTACTCCATTTCTGACAGCTGTTGGTGACACTCAGTAGCAATTTTAAGAAAATGCATGCAGAAAGTTGAATGTTAACGTTCCTGATCTGTTGGCAACGAATCAGGAATCTTTCCCAATTGTGTTGGTGAAACCTACAGTACGCTGGGTAATGACTCCAATAGAACGCTACAGTGACAGTGTGCAGTTATTTTATTGAAACTTAACTCATTATTACCAAGGACTTAAAATTAAAAATGGCATGTGATCAGCGGTGGCTCCAGAAATTTGCAGACAGTGGGGTCTGAACCTAGACTGAGGGTCAGCCAGGGTCTCTTGTAGGGTTTATAGGGAGAGGTTTAATATGGCCCAAAATTGTGCTTTTAGACCACAAAAAAGGGAATGGCAATCAGAATAACGTTACTGGATAGGCAAATTAATATTTTTAGTCCAACGCCCTCATCATAGTATTAGCCGATGTAACATCCTACATTATTTTAAAATACAATTTTAAGTGTTTTTATATTGAATAAAGACTGTTCATATGATGTAATCGCCACACATTGAATTCAGAAAATAGGGAGTTCGTAATGAGACGTTCGTAAATTTGGGAGATATCACCGTATGTGAAAAAATACAGTAAAACATAGCCTTTTAAATTACAACTACTAATCTTCTGACAAACACAACCATCGAGAGCTCAAACATAACCTTAGTCCTAAATAAATCGTGCAGAAACTGCATTTTAGTAATTTATTAAATGCTTCAGTCTTTAACACTCTTTAAAAATTTCAAAAAAATACAGTGAAATAAATATAGAGGACTAATTAATGAAATAATTCTGGAATACCAACACTAAGGTGTGAACATTTTTCACATCTGTTGCAAGACAACTGTGATCAAATTAACGTCCACCTTTATTTTCCTATCACAAATGTATAATAATTTTTGTTATTTGAACAGTGTGTTTGTGGATTGGGTGAGACTATTGTTTATAACTTGTTTATTGAACCCTCAAAACACAAATGGTGATTTCAAATAAAAAATAATTTTATTTATTTATTTTTATAAAGCCCTGCATCTCCAAAAATATAATATATTCCTTTAAAATTTAAAACATTTATCAATCTAATTACTATACTACCCTGTTTACATTCATCAATAACATTTAATTTTTATTTTCTCTTCTGCCTAGATGCTTCTTCGAAAATCATTTTGCTAAATACTGTAAAAAAACAAAATTGTATTTGATTTTTTTTCCGCCCTCCTCTGACGATCTTTAAAAAAATAAGCACATTTGACTCATTATTTCAACTATATAAAAAAAATTGTCTCTAAGAGTATATGGTCCCCCTGCAAGATATCTCACGGTTGGTATGAAATAATGTAACTAACTCTCAGTGTGATTTCTTGCTAACTACACAGTGCCAAAATGGTGTATTAAACATAAATTAAAAACACAATTTAACAATGGCAAAGAATTTTACATTCAATAGTCAGCTTTTTCATTTGTAAAGAGTTAAGTGTTTGATGATTGGGAATCCCTCTTTCAGAAGACAATCTAAAATTATCCAAACCTTGGCAACCGAAGTTCAATACTTAACCTCAAACCATTGTTGTTATTGTATAAATAACTCAAAGGGTAGACAGAAAAGATGAGCTTTGCTCCAGTGAGCATGCAAATAATATATCTCAAAGTACTAAAGGCAGCAAGTAAAGTACCATGATTGGCTGGAATAATTTCTATGTCATGTATACAAACCTACTGCTAAGTGACGGCCAACTATTGTTGAGCAAATTGTTTAACAATATTGAAAGTTTACTGTATCTTTAAAAAAATGTATCTGTTTAATCAGCCTTCAAAAATATTATGTATCTTCATGTAAAATATATTTTAGCATTGAAATAAATAAATTTATATCGCATTGTTAATGTCTATTTCACTACAAACTGATTAGTATTTATACACACCCATCAAAAGCTTTACATTTAGCAATTCTAGAATTATATTCATCTATTATATTAAAAATATGATTGATTATTATATATTTTGAATATTATTTCTTAATTATTATTATTGCATTAAAAGGTTTTATTTATCAAAGTGCTGAATTTGGCACCTATTCAAAGATATATATTAAAGTAATGGCTTTTTTACATACCAGCATTAGAAAAACAATAATTTTCATTAAATGATCGATATTAAAATGCTCTTTTACCTACATAAACATAGGAAACAGTTTTCAGTAAAACCATAGAATAAAATATAGCATAACAAACATGTTTGGTACTTACCACAGCCAAAGAAATTCTGATAAAACTGTTCCTACTAAACCGTTGACAACAATGTAGCACCAAACCTTTTTTGTAGGCAGCTCAAATAGTTCAAGGTGGAAATTATTCATAATAAAAAATCCCGGCCAGATTATCAGAAAATTAAAAAGACCAACAAATCCTGAAACAATCAAATAAAAAATTATCTTAATTCATAATTTTATAATGTTAGTATTAACATATTAAAATAGATTTAAAATTAAATATTTCCTTTATTCGTCATATGAATACAACTTAATAATTCATATGAAATTTGTTTTCCAAGGACTATGTTAGAATGGTAAATACTAAACAGATAAAAATATAGGAATAGGACAAAGGAAATCTTCATGAATATCTATCTTAATATAACAATTAAAAACTTCAATTACTTGCACTTGCATTATCCCTTTTATGTTAGATTTGAGAGTTTTATTGCACTTGGGAAGAAAGAGTCCCTATGACTTTAAGTGGTGGTTTTAATCACAACAATTCTCTTAGACCTATTTGTTTCTGTGTGAAATTCATAACGTAGTACAGTAGAACCTCGTTTTTACGTACCCCAGTTATACGAACCCTCTGTTTTACGTACGCCTCGTATGGACGATGACGTCATCAAAAACCCCGAAAATATTAAAAACAAACGGCCCTTTTCAGAGCAACCATAAGTAAAAAGACTATTACAATAAACTATAACAATAAACAAACCATAATAATGCAACGTATTTTCATTAAACAACAATATTGATTGAGT